TATCACTTTAAACAAACCATTTCAAAATAAATTTCCAACAATAGAAAACATTGTTCAGGTGATTGCAGTCCGACATAAAGAGTTTGTCGGGAAAGAACAGGACCAGCTTACATGAATGACAAATTATTTTCCCAAGTTTTTTCTTCTATGTTTTTAATTGCTTACGTGCAAAATACATGAATTTCCTTATAGTTAGTGTCAGTGCTGATATAATTAGGGGTCATTCAGATATTTTTATTATTATTTCAATTTATGCTTTTCATCCTGTGTTGAGTAGTTTGGTTTTCATTCACTTTTAAAGACACTTTCGTGTCTTTTGTCTGCAGAGCATGATTACATTTAATATAAGTTTATAAAATATTATATTTAATTTTTTAAGTTGATTAAATATGTGAATTGAAAACGTGTGCAAATAACATTTTGTATAGGACTGAAATTCATGATGAGCAAACGGTTTCTGTATTTCACATCTGGAAATGACTGTTTGACAAGGTGTTTTTTTCACCATCTCTTCTAGTGGGCCTGAAGTCTGAGGTTTGTAATTCACAAATGGGTTATGTGCTTCAGAATGAACCCGTCTTTCACAGAGCTTCATTCTGCTTAAGCCATGGTGAGCTGAAGGGAAAAATAGAAAAACTCTATCGTAGGTCGTAGGTAGTATGTATCGACTAGAAAAGAGATGATCTAGGTACAGTAAACCCATTTACTATGCTGTATTCCCTTCTTTCATATGTTCCAAGGTGTGTGGAAGATTCATCTTCATTTTAACCCATTGCTAACATTCTTCAAAAAATGTTTCATATGGTCAGGCTACATAAAGATTTGTTTCAAAGGTGGGTATTCAAGAGTACACCACCAAATAAATTGTACGATGCAATTCAAGACAACTTTGTTTGAATTTGTTTGGTGAAAGACATTTAGAAATCACCAGAAATGAAATCTTCATCTACAGCTTTTATTTTATTTGCAAAATATAATGTTTCGCTCTCTAAGATCAATATACCATTTTTCGTACACAGTGTAAAAAACAGATTTTATATTTTTATAACTGTTAAATAGAAAATTTGTATTGGAGTTAATATAAGGCTGGACCTACAGTATGTGTTTTTTAGGTTTACTAAGCAATTAAAATACACATTTTTATTGCTATCTTAGATAGCAATACTTCTGAGTGGAGAGATTTGAGATTAGGCTAATTTGTTTTGCAGCATCATTTTTTTGTGTTTGTAACACTGTACCCAATTTTTTGCTAAAACACAGAGATGCTGTATATTTTTCGAAGAGATGAGTTCAGATGAGCTGCATGGGAATACCAGAGGAGAATAAAAAATATATATATCTACTTACTTGCAGCATTTCACTGTATGTCAAAGCAAGATTGGTGCCCTTGTGTTGCCTTGAACAACCTGTCAGTGCACAGGGGAGGTTTGGAAAGCCAGACTGGATTTTGAACTTGAAGTCTGCTCTGGTATTTTGTTTCCATTACTGTCAGGGCTGAAATGCTGGCCTCACACAGGTAGGTAGTGGGAAATGATAAAAGACCCTTCAGAATATGTTCATTGCAGTCTGATTCCAATTCAGGAAAATAACCTGTGAATTTGACTTGAAGTGCTGATAAGTGTGTCAGTCTTCTCCTTCCACCTTTCAAGCCGAGATTCTCGGTTCTGTCGAAGTGACTCTGAAAGCTGTGGGAACATATCTTTGATTCTACCCTGATTCGGGTTTTCTAGACGTGAAGACTTTTTCTGGAAAGCTTTCAATTTGTCTTGAAGAAGCTGGGCCACTGCAGTATCTTCTTGCTGATCTATATTCTGTACTATTATTGTTTGAAAGACATGCAAGGTAAGCAGATTTAAACACAAATATTGTTTTGGAAGAAGTTTGCAGGCATTTGACTTTGCAAAGACTGATTTGCATTCAAGAAATTCTTTTTTCTTGTTGTATGAATTTGATTTTTATTGTTGTACGGTACATAGGTGTGTTTCTTCTATATCAGAACTGTATAGCAGCCCGTAAATAGTACATCACAGTTTTTTTTTCCTGTACCTGACATAAAAAATGAACAATGTTGTTTGGTTCATATTGCGCAAAACACATCAGAATGATACAGACACAAAATTAGTAAATTTCCTGTTTTTTACACCACTGGGTGTAATATCCAGATCGTCTAATTACATATGTGTATTGGTTGATGTTTCAGGCCCCTCAAAGTTAAGGAACATTACTTTTAGTTTCCAGAGTTCTGTCCCTTATGCCTAATGCTCAAAAATTAAGGTTTTTCTTTAAGATTGTTTACTGTATATGGCATTAATGGAAGTTTTTTTTACGAAATCCTTTGTTAGTGACAACGTGTCTTGGACTAGCTGTTAATTTCATGTGATCGAAATTCTGTGCATGTAAAATGAAGTCAGTGCAGCCCCCCTTTTTAGTTAAAATGTAATTCTGAACATCTAATATTGCAGCATTATGTAGGGAGTACTGGATATGACAATCAGTCAATCATATTTGATTGAGAGAAATATTTGTCCTTTGATGGTGTCTTCATATTTATTACCTGTCATAAAATGCATTTGCATTACCTAAAAGGTTACTCAAATTAATATTTCAGTGATACCAGGTTCAGGCCATAGGGTTTTTAGCATAGCTGTTTCTAATGAAACAGAAGTGTTTTGTCCTTTCTGGACAAACAGATGTCATCTTGCAGGCAAACAGTATTTGACAAGTTTTTACTGCTTATAGGAAATGTTGCTTTTTTAAATGATTTTAGCATTTTTCCTCAAATTAATTGTCAGCACGGAAATAAGCAACACAAGGGCACCAATCTTGCTTTGACATACAGTCAAATGCTGTAAGTAGATTTATTTTTATGTTCCTTTTATTTGCTGAAAAAAACTATAAAACAGAGATAAATTATACCCAAGACCAAAATAATTTGACATTTTTCAAGAACAGGTTCTGAAATGACAAAATGCTATTGGGTCAGCCTTGGTGCTCCAGTATGTGTTGCACTGGATTCAAAGGAAGGCCCCCTATACTGTGCAAAAGGGTGAACTCCATACTCTTCAGTAAGTGGAATGAGGCTCACTCTGGAAGCTTTAAAGTATGCAACACAAGGCAGCGCAATTAAAGTGGAAAAGGTCACAACTCAGTGTGCATGTGAACCCAGTCAAAACATTGAGTATCCATATTTCTTTTAAAATCTATTTGTACCTTTGAATGACAACTGTCATGCATTCTTAATGGTGTGAGTAAAATCTTATTAATCATGTGCAGTATATCGGGGTAGACCTTTTCCTGATTTTCTTTTTGTTCTTTAATTCTAAGTGCCTTACAAGCCAGGAAAGATTATTGGTAATGGTGATTACGTACTTCTGGTTATAACTGAATAACATGTACCCAGCCACTCAATGGTTTTGATTGCTTTTTGTCAAGGTTTTACCATGTATGTTTGCCTATAAATGTACATAGTATGTATACTGTACTATTACCTTCTCTTTCATCTTGGTAAACCTATTTATGCCTCTGCAAACTTTTGCTAATGTAATATTAGCAACAGGCTTTCATGTTGGCACCAGTAATGCACTGAAACTATCAAGCATTTAAAGCTGAGACAGGCATAAAGCCATACTTCCCAGGAAACTTATTTCCAGGCAGTGTTTGTTTACTTTCAGTTCTAAAACATAAGTCCTCTTTGCTAAAAAATAAATGAATCAGTACATGAATTAAATTCCCCATTCTCCTTGTCCTAATGTGTCTCCCAGACCTTGTGTTGAGGCGTGTTTCCCATAGACACGTTTGCCTTTGTACTGGCTAAGCTGGTAAGGGAGAAGTGTATTAAAATATTTGGGGTCTACAGCTGTCAGAAATAATGTTTTATTTAGCTGCCAGTTTTTTGCGATGTCCCTGTATTGCTCAGAATACCATATGTCGGGTCCCTGTTAGTAAACACAGGTTTCAAGCCACAGCTTGTTTCTGTGTTTGCGGGTGCTGTGGAGCTGTGGTCCAGCACCATCATTTATTGATAAAGCTTGGAAACGAAGAATCTAATGAAATTATCAAAGTTGTTGAATTAATTATGAACATGAATAAGAAAGCTAAGCTCTCTGGAGCCAGGGATCTCATTACCCATTCAGTCTCATCATATCCTCTTTTGGAGCAGTGTGCAGGGGCTTGTGCTACAGCTCGTATGGACTTGGCTTTGGACTTCATTCAAACTTCCAGAACTTACTGGCAGCATCACCTGTTTTTTTTCTTAATTTGGCAAAGCTGAAGGTCTTTGGTGGTTAATATTTTGCTTTTTTTTTGCTTTGTACTGTCGTTTGACCGATATGCTTGCAGAAGGCAGTGGTCTGCTATCTGAAAGCACTGCCTTTCGCATGTGTTATTTTGTTTTGTGTGTTACGTGCGCAACTGGATGTCGTTCAAGATTTTACTCATGTAAATCTCCTCGGCAAACTACTCAAGGAATTTGTTTGAGTTGTGTGCAGCAAATTAAAAAAGATCAAGGTGTCTCATTAGGTAAGGAAAGGCTGTTACTGCAGACATTTGAAACTATATAATTCTTTGCTGTCTCTTAACATTCTCATAGGGTGGTTTTAGATGTAAGACTTTTAAAACTCATTGTTGAGATAATTCTTTAAAGTACACTGTAATCATACATTGCTTGGTGCACATAAATCTTTAAAGAAACTGAGGAGATCTTATTTCCACATTTTTTAAAGCTCTGTTGTGTTCTTTTTGTGCATGTATTTCTGTCTCTAAATTACTTTTCTAAAAAAAAGCCGTATAAAAAGAATTGAATCTTTGTTCAAGCATCATTTTATTACCCGATCGATTCAAAGTTGAAATTACTTTAAAGTTGATTGTAGGGGGAAAATTGTTCGCCCCAAACAGAATGACATTCTTCTTCAGGAGACATTGGTGTTATGTGACGGGAGGAATGTATCCTGTTGATGAACAACATATAAAAGATAATAACTTTTATTTGTTTCTGTTTACAGGCAGCTGCTATATTCAATTCCGCCTTTGGAAGTTTTCTGGTGAGTGACTTTATTTAACTCCTGTGATTCTTAAGATATTTATTAAGGCTTAGTTACATTCTGCATGGTATTTCCTGAAAGGTGAAAGTCTCATATTTGAAAACTGCAGAATGTAAACAGAGACCAGTTTAAAAATAACAGTAATGCAGATTGAGTAAATTATTTTAAGAAAAAAGTAAATATTTTTTTATTAAAAAAGGTAATATGTCCTTATATGTCTTTAAGAAAGTTGTACGTGTACATTAATGTATCTAATGTGCTTTAAAGTTTACACTGCCAAGTTTTAGCACAAGTTACTTTCCTTTTTGCCCTTTTGCTCACGTGTTTTTATTACATTCATTTGCTCAAAGATGAACTTCTTTCAACTCCTTCAGAAAAAAATATTATTAGATAAATGTGAGTTTTCCTAAAATAAAAAAGCTACAGCTTAAATACAGAAAATATGATGTTAAAGAAATAAAGAGAAGTATGCAAAATGTTGCGATACAGTATAAGAAAAAAATGGTCTTTATTGCTTCTGTTAGGACTTGGAAAACAAGAATGGTTTGTGCAGTATCCATTAAAAAATTAAAAGATGACCACAGTTTTGGGATTTTAAATTTAATCTTTATAGTATTCTTTAGAAAGTTACATATCCTGATCCTGTGGTGCTTTCTATGAATTGACAGAATTGATTGCTCTGCAAATTAGTCTTAAAAGAGGCCCTATCAATATATTGATTCTTATTATGAGGTCCATCAAATAGCCATTAGTTTTATCAAGGGGCCTTGGATTTTGAAAGGGTGCCTGAACTGAGTGATTGAAAAAGAGACACAGATGTCTGCTGCAGTGTTTTTGATGCTGTTTGAAATAATGAATTTGTAGCCCAGCAAACAGTGTTGCTTAATTTATGTACTGTATTATATATACATACAGTACAGATATAACTGCTTTGGATTATATATTTACACACAGTTTTATGGCTTACACCAAGCCCATTCTTTGGAGAAGTCTGTGAAATCTTTTGCATTTTTTACTTTAATCTTTATATAGTTTTTTTTTAATTTATGCAACTCTGTAAACATTTTGCAAGATACATTCAGCCTCTGCATAAAACTTTCATTTCATAAATGTCAAAAGTTCAATGTTTAGAATTAAAGATTTTACATATTCATGTTGGGCCTGTAAGTGTCCCTTGCCTAATTAATACGCAACATTTTAAGATCTAATTGTTAAAGAAAACTGTGTTTTTATGTAGCAGCAATGGTAATAACTAATGATAGATGAATAAAATTTACATAAATTTCAGACCAAGAGAATATCTGATCATTGTGCCACAGAGAATTGCTCTAAGTTAGGAAGTTAATTTCATTATCTCCTCCCCTCATTTAAGCCTGCTGCTTTAGAATAATTGGAAAACAGAATAAATGATTAGATTTTACTACATGATGGGCTTTAATAAAATCTGATAGCATGTTAGCATTACAGAAAGGGTGCCAATTACAGAAGGAAAGCGTTGATATGCCAGCAAGGAAATTTAATAGAAGAATTAGGCTTCTTTTCCCTTCTTCAAATACAAAATCATTTGCATTAGTTAATGCATAGAACCTCAAGCTTATTGTATATTTTGCTAAAGCATGAAAAGCAAAACTTAATGGCTGACATGAAAGATAAGTGTTTCCTTTTTGCTTTAAACAGACAAGTAAACTGCAAGCTATGCATGCAGACTTCAAAACATTGAGCAACATAGAATGCATTGATTGAATGAACATAGGATTTAATTAGTTGTAGTACATCGTTGCCAGCAATTATGCAGCAAATGTTTCATGTAAAGGACAGCTTTTGGGAACTATTAGAACTTTTTTAAGTATGACAATTAAACATGTACAGTATAAGCATAATGCTAACAGCAATTGTGTTCTGCCTAGGTTCTCCTTTTCTCAGTTGAAACCACTCCTGTAATGGCAGAGTTTCACCAAATATATTTTAATGAGTTGTTTTAACCAAAGTTTTGTGTTCACTGAGCATTCCTTGTGGTTTCTGAAATTCTGAAGTCAGTAAATTTGTCTACAGAAACTGAGCAATTCCTACTTTGAATGTAATACCTTATGTACTGTACCACACTTATAAGTCATGTCATCTTCTAACATGTAATGGCAGTTGTAGTGCTAAGGTATAATGGCAAAGTCACAGAAGCCATTCTAGTGAGGCTCTATGTTATTTTGGGTGCTCCATTGGCCACCTGTTCTACAGAGACAGCTTTTGTAGAAAATCTGAAACACATCTCCTCGTGAAAGAAAGAGCAAACAAATCAGGCTGCTCCAAACATTAAAGCAAACAAGTTAAAACATGCTTTTGTGGGGGCAATCTCGGAAACATGCAGTGTTTTGAGGTGCCATATTATTTAACTCCTTATCTTGTGCAGGAAAGCATAACAAATGTAATCATGTTTGCAGATTAAATATACATAAATTACACTAGCACATGTACAGATAAAAGGCATTGCTTAAAGGATTCTTAAGGTAGAGTATGGACAAATTCTGTTAGCTGTTTATCTCTGGGTTCACTGTTTGCTGTCTATGTATGGAAGGGACTTTAACTGGTTATTGAAAGTGATCACTAGCTGAAAGCTGTCATCACTCTCTGCAAAAGGAAATAAAAAAAAATCGTATTCCTAAAATAAAAAAACAAACATGACCATTGTTATCTACAATTCAGATAAAGCACTTCGTCACTCATTCTGCCACAACTGTGTATAAATAACTGCATTAGTCATGGTAGGCATTTTTCTTAGAAATTTGTGACAGGAATTTAATTATGGGAATGACCAGCAACTAACAAATTTAATTTCGGTAGCTTGGGCTGACTAGATTTTTTTTCTCCAAGAATGATGGATTTCTTTATTCACTTCACACCCTCCCCCTTTGTTTAAGAAATGCAGATAGAATTCTGTAAAGGAAGTTTTCACTTTCTATCTTTATTTCTCTGCAAGTATTCTGCTTCAAAACACATCTTTGTTGTCGAGAGCCTCTCACAGAAATTACATATTCATGGATTACATTTAAGGTTTTTCTGCTATCGTAAGCAAGCGTTATTGTTTTAAACCTAGGGTATAAAGGCGTCTTTGGCATTATCTTGAATATATCTGTATTATAATGTATGAGAATGAGCTGTGGTTTTTATGCATGTCTTAGTGTTTTTTTCTTCTCCTTCTAGAATATAAAAGTCTTCTTTTAATAATAGCTAGGAGGTTTGTAGCAAGACAGGCTACTTCCTGTACCAGACGTGTATGATTCAATTGACATAATTCAGTGGCAGCAAAACACAATTGTCCCGAATTGCCACGTGTTACAGTCCCCATTGCAAATGGCATCCCTGTGTTGTTAAGGTTAGCTCAAGTTGCTTTTTATTTAATAAACAAAACATTTTTCTTCACTTGGGGCACTGGGTAATCTACCTTTCATAAACTGTTCTGTACTGCTGTGCCTATGTTTACAAAGAACTCTTAATATTAAAAAAATCTATAACTGTAGAAACAGTTTGGGGAATAAAAGTCCTTCAGAGTTTCTAAATTGTTTAGTTATTTTGAGAGCCATGAGATTCTTTGCAAGCTGCTGGAACATGTCTTTTTTTTACTTTCTGTAAGAGGCTTTCTTTAAATAAAAGAGGAAAGTGAGAAATTTGATCAAAAGGTCTAATTCAAATGGGAAGGAAATGAATGCCACTTAACATGAAAACATAACCTGAGTTTCTGTCTCAGTTCTAAAAGTGAGCTATATTTACACTGTTTTCTCTTATTCACTTTAATGTATCTATTTAGCACTTGTAATAGAAATATCGCATCTCATTGTAGCGGAGCTAGTTTGGGCACGGTGACATCATTGCCCTCCCTGCGCGTAGCAGGGACCTCAGCCGCCGCCTGGGCTGGGGGAGGTCTCCTTTAGCTCATGCAGCTGATTCCCTGTTGCGTTATGTCAGAGACTCGGGTTTGTGCCCAGGTTTTGCGGGACGAACCGGTGGGGTGGAGCAGCAAGGGACCGCGCGGAACCGCAGTGGTCACATCATCAGCAAGAGCTGATAGTGTTCACTAAAAAGTGCCATTTCGCTGAACAGGACAATACCCCAGCCTTGTTATGGGAGTCGTTTCCACTTACGGGGGATATACAGTACTTACATTAAAACTTGCTCACATCCGATCCTGTAAGGGGAAAAAAGGTGTGTTCAAATGCTTTTCCAAGTTTTGTTTCCTTAACAATTACAAAGGTTTTTGTGACTTTATTAAAACTGACATTCCCTGAAGTGCTGAAGATCGTATTATTGAAATGTAATAATGAATTGACTATGCAAGAGTTTGAAGTTAAAGGTTTCTGGTACTGAAGCCACCAATCCCAAACCACTGGCCTCGGATGATAGTGTCTGGCAGTTCCAAACCCAAAGAGAGGTGTCTGGTGATCCTTCACAGTGCAGCACACTGCCCTTGCCAGTGAGTCCTTAGCGTCCTTTACACTGACTCACTGTCAAAACACCAAGGTTCATGGCTTTACTGCTGTGCACAGAGATCCATCAGAAGGGTATTTATAGACCTCGATTGGAACTCACTGCAATTTCCTGTATAGCTCACTGAACCTGGGTATTCCTACTGTAAGTGTAAACACTTTAGAATGTTTTGAAGTGTCCTGTAAGTTTGTTCTAGAAAATGTTTAAAATTTATTGTTTGTAATTTTAATAATTAATAATTATATACATATTAAGAAGGAACAAGTAAAGTGTATTCCATGTTGAAAAGAGAAGAAAAGAAACACACTGTTTCGGGTATGGAGCTTTGTTCTTGAACTCAAAATTTAAATTATTTTAAATTTAACGTTGATTAGATTTGATATAGTTTGCAAGCTATTTTAAAACTTTTGTATAGTTTTGCCATGAATCTACATTACTTTTCACATTATTTAGTCTGTCCTTACCCTGTTACTTTATAAAATAACCTGATCTTCAGACCTCTCTTTTTCGTATATCATGTAGTT